ACCAGAAGTGCTTCTAAAGCATACTTATTAATAGCACCATTCAGTTCCTAACTGAGGCAGATGTTATTCATGCCCACGTCCACATTTCCAGTCATGCTAGCCCAACTTTTAACTGCCAGTGAGTCCTCTGCAATTGCACATGTTGATCTGGAAATACCAGGAAATTAACATCCCTTGGGAATAGTCATCAACTTTATATACTTCAGCACATTTTCCTCTTGGAAGGGATAACTCTGATGCATACAGCCTATACTGCTTCCCAGAATCACCCCCAGGAATAAGCTCTACTCACTTGGAGTGGTAACTTGATAGAAGATGCACCGTTTATTAGTTCTTTCCCTTGTTTTAATTCCCACATTTTTAACAGTTTTTCCTAGAGTTACTTTCCAAATAAACCATGTGAGCTTGAATCCTAGTTTCAGGAACTATTTCTGAGAAAATCCAATGTAAGCTGATACCAGCAGTGGTCTTAGTAAGAAGATCCTCAGGATGAGATTCTAGAATTGAATCACTTCACCAAACATATGGCAACAAAGACTCTATTTGTGCCCCACTGGGTGCGCCAGTTATGACTGGAGTCAAGAAACTCCTCAGATACTATAACATCATGATTTCTAAAATTTTCATCTGCGGTGATCACAATAAAATATAGATTGAAGGAGATACACCTAGTATTTGAGAAAAATAGGGGAAAATCATAATCACAGGCCAAGATTTGGCTGGTTGTTATATTTCACTGCAGAAAATGACTACCTCAAGTCGGTGAACTGTCAACTAAGGGCACAATAAGAAAACCAGAAAACTCTATGGCAGCCAATAAAGAGATTCTCACTTCCCATTGTGGGAAGGTTAGCACATGCTAGAAATATGGCTCAGAATCTGCTTTTGAGAATCACAGAATCATAAAGGCTGCATTCACAACCTTGGTAGGTTTCTATACAAAAGTCAAGACATTCATGGGCAAGGCATGAGGCCCTAGAACAAGGCTGGGAACATCTGAGTAGATACAGCTGAGCACACAGAAATTCTGGATTCCCCTGTGCTCTCTGGATGGGCAGAAGAGACCTGTTCCCCTTATTTGGAGGGCAGTAATTTCTATCTTCCTAGATGGCTCTAGGCAACAATAAGATCAAGTTTCAATAGAATCTGTCTGGAATAGTATAGTCTTTGTTCCAGGAAAATAAAAAGATGAGAATATTCAACAAAAGAGCCGAGGAGCTGCCTGGTATGATTCTCCCAGCAGACACTGGGAAAATATGCCAGGGAATGGATGTTGCAGGATTTTGAGATGAAATCTATGTGGTCATCAACTTGGAGTGGAACAAGTACTTTGCAATAAGAAAACACACTGACTCTTATCTATGGGTGAATGCTCAGCTGGCTGGCGGGAGATCTACAAGGAGCAAGACTGGGAAGTCTTCATTGCACAAAGAACTATGGAGAGGAAGCATGGGGGTGGACCTGTGGAGTGGGCACTGAGCATGAAGATCTCTTTGTTGCACAGCAACGTTCTCCAGAGATAATCTGTCACAGAGGAGCTACTGAACAGGTGAGGAGATGAGATAATTTGTCTATTGCAGGTCATCCAACTCTGTATGTGGCAACTGTGGTGATTACAAAATGGGCCCATGAATGGAGTAGCCAGATAGATGGAGAGAGAGAGAGGGAGAGAGAATATGCATGGCCTTTAGAGTGGGGGCTCTTCCTCACCAAGCTTGGTGTAGCCAGTGTTCTTGGTAAATGACTAATCCATTGGACTTGGTCCAAAGCAGAGATCTCAGTATAGTATTACTTATCAAAAAAAAAAAAATCACCAACTTGATGTAAGAAATTATTATTACATTTTGCACCTCTGGAAAAGGTGTAAAATTTGTTTTTCTGGATATCTACACATATTCTAGCCAAGGGTTCTCCTTTCCTGTCACAGTGCTTCATTGTATTACTAATCCTCAGGTTCACATACTGCCTATCATTGTGGAATCCCATATACTATTTTCTAAAACCACACTACCCATTTTATGATAAAGCAAATCCAGTAATGGACACATGACTACAAACTCCACTGGACCTATCATATACTGTATTACTAGACACTGCTGGCCTGATAAAATACTGAAATTTTTTTCCATTTATCTCATCTCCATTAAATACTCAACTATGTCTCTAAATTAGAGATACTCTGATCTGGGATGTCGCCTTTTAACATACAGCGTATTTTTGAACCAGGCTGTATGCTTTGTGCTAGAGCCAACTTTTACCTGCTCATGAAAAAACAATGGTTTAAATTTGCAGAAATTTTTAAAGTCAGTAAACTCACCTTAGAAGCTTAAAATTGGCAATAGTACAAGTACTTATGTAGTGAAAATTAGTAAATGGCATATATCAGTTTTTTTCTCTTCACCCCACTGGTTTTGACCCCTGAAGTTCAAATGTATGAGTGTAGGAACGAAGGGGAAGAAGTAGGAATGTCTCCTCTTACCATAACTCAAAGTGATCCACTAGAAATGTATTCTTCTGTCATTGCAACTCAAGGCACTGCTGAAATAAACGCTCTGCTTTCCAGTTGTCAGGGGGGAACCATTGGTGGAAGGGGAGGGATTAGCAGTGCTCAGAGTCCCAGTAAGAGTCTCACTAAACCTAAATCTATAGCTACTATCTAGATATTCTGGGCTTTTCACGCTGGTAGTTCAACTTGAGAAAAAACCAACAACAACAACAAATATTATTCTACTGGTAAGCTTCCAGTTGACAAGATTATCATGAGGCTTGCTGCTATGTAATATTAGGAAGACTATGCATAGAAGTTGGGGATTCACTCAAGCACTTTCATGTTTGGAGATAACTGTGAATGGACAATTGCAAAAGCCTTTGTTTGAATGGACTCAGAAATCATGGATTCACAGGCTTCTGGCATAAAAGTTTGGCTCATCCCATCAAGCAAACTACTGGCACAAGAGTTGGCCAAGGTCACAGGGATGATGAGTATTAGCAGAAATGAAAGAATATAAATTATGACCTTAGTTCTAACTCTAGCAATCTACCACCTTAATGTACCATGTTTTTTTTTTTTTTTAAAACAATGTGACCAGTCTCCATCTTCAAAACTCCCTGACTGTGTCTAGTGGATACTGGCCAGATTTCTAACAACCACACCGAAAACTTTTTGCTTCAGTCTTCCCTCTTGTGGCCATAGTCTGTTCTGCTCACACTTGGGGAGAGTGGGTGCATTGCAACCCAGCTCCTTTGAAAACAATGAAGTGAATATTCTACATGGCATCCAGAATTTCTCAGCAGAAATAAGTTCCTTTAAATTAAATTAAGATCCTCCAATTGGCTCCTTTCTTTCCCACCTTCCTAGACTCATTTCCTCACTTCTTTAACTGTTTTTCCTGTGATCATCTCCCAAATAAACTACTTGTACTCTAATCTATGAATGCAGTTAGCTTCTACAAGAAGTCAGATTAAAATATTTACCATACTGAACATCTGGTGGTTTTATTCAAATTTCCCTAGATATGCTAAATCTGCAATGAATTTAATGTTTTTAAGACTTTCTTTTTTTTTCCACCAAAGATAATATTTTATTAACAACCATTCAAATGGTTTGTAATGAAAAGTATGTTTATACACAAATAGGGGCAAGTAAACACAAAATAAGTATCTTTTCTAGTCATCTTGTTTGGATTACATTTTGCCGGTTTCCATGTTGAGAAATATGTGGTAAGCCAGCACACAGGGTCAGATGGTAAAATCAGACTCATATGAATCAGAGACTTTATGCAGTATTGAATTTTACTAAATAATGTCAAGGATGTATACAAGCTAAAGGGTTTTTAAGGTTCAGATGACGCAGACAGATGTGTGTACATGGAGGACAGCCCAGCTCCTTCCTTCCTGGGTTGGGCACATTTCTCTGGCCCACATGAAAGGAAGTGTCAAAAAGAGTTTCACTAGGTTCCTAGTAAGCTTACTTAAACTATGACATATCTCCAGTTTATTTTTAAGAGCGTTATATCACCAGTGAGACCTTTCTCCAGGAATCATGCCTCATAGATACCAAATTCTTTTCACTGTCCTAGTAGCTACCGTTAGCCAGGAATAGCCCAACAAAAGTATTTTAGGGATAAATTCTCTACCTTTTGGTAAATAGTGATAATCTATTTACCTGGAGCTTTAGTCAACAAAACATTGTACCACGCATCCTGCTTTCTTCTCCCCCCGTGGTGCCTTTTCGGTGAAGGGAATAAATCCATTGCAGACCGGCCGCCTTAACGTTTTCCTCCCAAGTGATTTTAGAGACAGATCGAGTTTCAATACAAAATAAATTCACCCACAAATTCCTCCTCCTTTATTTATATCTTCATGAAAATATCCACATCTAATCTAATATCTACCAGACACTAACCATGAAATATTTTGCATAAATTCTATGAATTAAAATGGGACAGGGTGACATTCATTTGTTTCATTTGCTTCAGAGTTCAGTTTACTTTCTAGCTGTGACTGAAAGTCTAAAGGGGTTCTGGAGAGAAAAGGCTCATAAGAGCACCCCCAAGTATGTATTGGTTCTTATGTTAATAACAAAAACATACAAGCATGCTATGAATTCATAACATACTATGAATATGTGTCCAGGGTGAAAATGGGCACTGTGATGAATAAATCAATCACACCGACAAGTTGCTACTATTAGGAGTTCCAATGTCATCAGAATGAAGAGGCTCATGTTTCCTATTTAAGACCCTCTGAGTGAAGAAGAAGATGTGGAATGCTTTTCATTTATATTCAATACTTCAGTTACTTTACTCAGTGATAAATTTTTACGAACTCTAAAGGAATTCTGGAATGGAACTAAACAGGAATCAGTCACTAAGGATGACTCATCACCTTATATCAGAAATCACTGAGCCTATCTAATATTAAAAATATAAAGTACTTAAAGTCAGGGGGAGATAGAAATTGCAGGTTAGTTCAGGAGAATGCAGTCATCTTATACTTACTGAAGCGACATTCACGAAGTCGTCATCTGAGAGGGTTTCCAACATTTCAGAGACAGAGGTTCGTATCAGTTTGAGTGTCAACCCGCTAACACTTCCACTCCTATAAACACACAAATGGGTCCACACATGTTACTCACTATTTAATTGAGAACATCGCAAGGCAAGACAACTTATGCACTAACTTTACAACATTCATTGTATCTTGTTCTAATTATAATTTTGTCTTTTAAAGAAATCAGTAGAAGAAAAAGTTGGAGATTATTTTAGAGTAGAAATTATAAGAAATCTTGCTTTTCTTTTCTACCAATATCAGTATGTACAGATTTCTGACTAAAATGATCAAAACCACGCAGTACTTGACAATTTTGACAATTTTTAAAAATATAAATACTAAAATGGCATATTCACTCATTCGAGGAATATGTATTAAATAACTATTGTGTTGGCCAAGTGAGAAGTGAGGGGTAGACAGGTGAATAGATATAGTCATGGCCCTAGAAAGCCCATTGTTTGAACTGATTAATCCAATAATTATAAAGCCCTGTAACAATTGTGATAACAGATCTGCAGACAAAATACCTTGCTCTGTACCCTAAAGCAGATCCCTCCAGGGTTTAGTCTCTTTCTTTTCTCTGCATATTCTCTGATACTTGGTGACCTCACCCATGTAGGACTCATCTCCAGGTAACTAACGTCCATGTTGACATCTCTCTTCTCAGTATTTCCCAGTTTTACCCTTCTAGCTATCTGCTAAACAATGAAGACTCAATGTCCAAAATGAAAAGTTCCTCCCAGATGTAGTTTTCATTCTGTTTGTGTCCTTGTACCAAACAGGCTCTGTGCTGGTCATCCAATTTGTTTCTCCCTCTCACTTCCCACCCCTTCAGACATTTCCCTGTACTCATGCCACTTCTCAGTGTTCCCACAGCACCAGTCTCTGATTTATCCTCACTCATCCTTGGCTTGGTCTTCATTACCCAAAGATGCTGAGCTAGAGTAACTGCCACTCACTCCATCCAGCTCTTAGTCTCCCCTCCATGAGCTAACAGGTAACAATTCTGGAAAAATGTCCTGATCTGATATGTTTAATAGTTCATAGTCACCTACTAAATATCTAGCTATCACCATAGTCTTGCCCTCCATATTTGGCCTCTGTTTTAACCTTTTTCCCCTCTCTTTTTCTTCCATCTCTTCTATACACCTCCCCCAGAGATTCTCACCTGTGCCTCTTTGCCTCTAGCCATTCTTCTCCCTAAAATTCTGATCACTTAGCTTTCCCTTCCCATCCCTGTCTTGCAAAAACCTTAGCCATAAGTATTCAATCCCAATTTTATCTTCTTAATGATTTCTTCATACCTTAGGTCAAAGTGCTATTTTTCTCCTTTGGTGCTATGTCATCTTTTATATCCGTTCCTTTTTATAGTTATTTTCATTATTTGTTAATGTTGCCTACTTTCCCTAATACATGTGATTTATCTTTGAGATCAAGGACTACATGTTAATCATCTTTGCCTCTATGTTAGCACATTGCATATAGGAGAGCTTCAATATATTTCTGTTGAAATAATTTTTGAAAATAGTATTTATTTCAATTTCACATATTTTCAGTCTTGGGATGTGCACTTGATTTCTACAGAGTTTAATATAAGAAATAATTTCTGAGGGCAGTGCCTGTGGGTCATTGAGTAGGGCACCAGCCCTATATACCAAGGGTGGCAGGTTCAAACCCGGACCTAGCCAAACTGCAACAAAAAATAGCCAGGTGCTGTGGCAGATGCCTATAGTCTGAGCTACTCTGGAGCTTGAGTCAAGAGAATAGCCTATGCCCAAGAGCTGGAGTTTGCTGTGAGCTGTGACTCCAAGGCACTTGACCGAGGGTGACAAAATGAAACTGTCTCCAAAAAAAGAAAAAGGAATAATTTCTGGAAATTATCCTATATCCAATGGATTGTAATATATTGCATTACCATTTAGGTTTATACTTATGAAGAACATCAAGGATTAGTATATAAGATCTACAAAAAATTAATTATAACAACATGTGGCTCAAATGCATTTTTATTGAACACAATAAGAATTACCATTTAAGTTGCATTCATTGGATTAGGTTATTTTCTCTTTCTCAGGCTTTATCATAAGGCTTTGGAGAACTAAGTTGTACTTGTTCACTTCAGGTCAAAATGTTAATGAATTGCCTATGATATTGATTTAGTTGCCTACAGATTACTAGATCTTGTTTTGACCAATGAGACAAAGAATATGTTTTGTTCCTTAGAGAATATAAACTAAATATCTTATACTTCATGTTTTTTATTTCCTTGATAATACACTTAAAACATAAATCCCTATAGGATATAATCTTTTCAGTCTTCCACATTTATACCTTTAGCCTCATTAGAAACAGTCCACATGTGCATACACAGCAGATACACACTCTATATATCTCTACTCAGAGCCATATAATAAACACATAAAAAGACCAATATATAACTTCCTGGAATTCCTTCTGTATATCACCATTTCCCTTGAAAAAGTCCCAGCATTGACATTTAATGTATGTAACATTTGTCTGTCTTGTGGCCATATCCCTAAAAGTCTCCTGAATCATTAGTGACTAATTGACAACAAAATAATTTTTTTTGTTTTTGTAGCAGGAATTGCTTAGCTTTAGCAACCCTGTACTTTAAATATTAATCAAATTATAAAGCAAAAATTGGAGGCAATTAAATAATTTTCTAAGAAGCTCACACATGAGAACCATAATTTACCATTCTAAAATAGATTCTTTTCATTACCAATTAAACACTTTGTTTTGTTATTGTCTTAATATGGCTTCTATGTCTGGATACAAATCATTATAATTATTCTTTTTTTAAACCTATTAAAATTTCATAGTGTGATTTATAACCGTTAACTACAAATCCTCCCATATTCTCAACACATAAATACGAAATATTTAACTACTCACACGTCAACCAGGATGAGCATGTCTTTAGGAGATGCAGCTCCTTGGATGTACCTGAAAAAAAAATACCAATTAATTTTTTCTCTTGCAAAATATCAGACATTGATATTTATTGAATGAATATTTTTGATCGCTGAGATAAGTTCTTTCCGAAGAAAGATGAACTTCCATTAACTCTATGAGGCAATGGTCTTTTACTCATATTTTGCAAAGTTAGTTTTAAAAATTTACATTTAAAATAACATTAGAGACATTAGAGGCATGGTATTTGAGTGTACTTGTTAGATATTTATAACAAAAGATAAAGAGATATATTTAAATGCTACCATTGAAAGAAAGTAACTTCAGAAAAAACATTTTTCTTAAAGAAGTACATCTTGAACTTCAATTGTTGATCACAAGTTTCAACTTCACAAGTTTCAAAAGTCACTCTAAGCAATAACAGATTTTCAAATTTTTAAATGCAAAAGAGAGATATGTGCTCTTGGTACATAAAATAGCAACATCAAAAAAGAAATATAATAGGCCAATAAAGTAATTGAAATGGTACAATTTATAGTATTACTAAAAAGAGTTTCAAGTAGTGCGTCTTTAATTTTACAGGGTCTAACCATCAGCTGGGACAATGAATTCAAAATGTTGATTCCTCAATTCATCCCTACAGAAGAAGAATCTCTGCAGTTTATTTATTTTTATTTTTTAATTTTTATTAAATCATGGCTGTGTACAACAATGCAATCATGGGGTACTGTGTGCTGGGTTTATATACAATTTGAAATATTTTCATCAAACTGGTTAACATATCCTTCATGGCACTTTCTTAGTTATTGTGTTAAGACATTTATATTCTACATTTAGTAAGTTCCACATGTACCCTTGTAAGATGCACCATAGGTGTGATCCCACCAATTACTGTCCCTCCACCCATCCTCCTCCTTCCCCTTACCTCCCTCTCCCCTTTCCCCATATTCTTGGGCTATAATTGGGTTATAGCTTTCATATGAAAGCTATAAATTAGTTTCATAGTAGGGCTGAGTACATTGGATACTTTTTCTTCTATTCTTGAGATACTTTGCTAAGAAGAATATGTTCTAACTCCATCCCTGTGAACATGAAAGAGTCTCCATCTTTCTTTAAGTCTGCATAATATTCCATGGTGTACATATACCACAATTTATTGATCCATTCATGGGTCAATGGGCACTTGGGCTTCTTCCATGACTTAGGAGAGTTTTACTCAGATAGTTCAGTGATTATGGAAAAGAATAAACCTGATTGCAGTAAATGACCTCAAAAGCTTATGTTGCCTGGCCACAGATTGGTGGCAAACCAAAGGACTTTTTTCTCTAAACAGGAAGGGCTGTAACTGAACTCAACTTTCTGCTTATGTGTTAAGCCTCTTTGCCCATCCCTCTAAATTTCACTTCTCAGGAGCCTACCAGACAATGTGCCAATTAGTTTCCAAACAACCTGCAGCACAGTTAATATCCACCCAGCACTATGTGTCAACAAAGCAGAGTTTATAACCTGCACCCAAGCTTGTTTATAAGAAGGTAAAGTGACAAAGTTGCAGGTATATCCCATACAAGGCAGATTCTAGTTCATGCCTAGCATTCATACTGGTCCTGCTACACCTCTTAATGGAAAAATTAGAAGACAGAATATTCTCTGCCTCTTCCATTTAACACCTACCATGTAGGATTTTTCCCAAAACAGTACATGCCTGAACCTAAAACATATGATATAGTAATTTTTGCTTCTATTCAACAACTCATTGCTCCACAAGGTCACATTAGAGACAATTAATAAGAATATATGTAAACCTATTACATATGCTTGGAGTTCATGTAAATTGCCACTAGGATGTTTAACAGAGCATGTAAAAAGCATTAAACACCTAGTTTAAATAAAATATTATGCTGCTTAGAATTTGTCTGAACCTTAGCAAAAACCAGAAATAACCTAAATGTCCAACAATAGGGGATTTCACAAATAAGTTACCATTTAGTTTTCCTTTAAATGATGTTATATAGCTTCTCATGAATATGTAACTCAATGGTATTGATATGAAAAGTATGAGATACAAAGCACTACATTGCATATAATGTAAACTCACTAAAATAAATATCCACACACTAAATATATTTTTTAAAACTCAAATAAAATATAATTAATAGTTTTAAAACAACACCAAAATTAATAGCCCAGTGAGTATAATTATGGATTTTTAGTATTTTTTTATGATAGGAGAATGAATTGCTTTAGTAGCAAGGAACAAATACAACTTTTTGGAGCAAAATTAAACCTAAGCTATATGAATATAACGAGGGGCAGCTTTACCTGGGGGCCAGTTCTCATTAGTTCACTGCCAGAGGCAAACTATCGTCTACTCTATCTCCTCTCTTTGTTTGAGCTCTCCAAGCAAACTGAGAGCCTTTCCCTAGAATTCCCCACCAGGTAAAAGACATTTACTGCTGAGATAGTTTTTAATATAAAACTTAAAGCAGCATATTTGAAATAAATAGGAGAAATCAGTTCAACAATATTGAATTTACCCACTTGAACTCACCATTTTTATTTACCTTTAATTATTTTTACTTATTTTTAAAAAGTTACCAGAGCACTTTTAGTAAGCAGATTAATTCATCCTAATAATGAAAAGATTACCTCCATTTTTTAAAATTTCAGATTAATATAAGGGTACAAATGATTAGGTTACATTGTTTGAGTATGTTGGGTAAAGTCCATGTTGTAGTTGGTGTGCACTGGGTTGCAAAATACCCTACACTGGCTCCATTAAGAGAGAGCACACCAAAAACCCTCCCTCCCTCCCTTCTCCCCTCACGTGAATTTAATTGTGTTTTTCTCTTGAGTGGTTATGTAGTTGTTCATCTACTGGTTTCATAGTAGTATTGAATAACAACTTTTTAACAATAAATCCAACTTTCTTTTTGCTATCTCATCTCTTCATGATCAGCTAAAACTAAAACTTCTTACCATGGTCTTCTGCGTACATCATAAAGGTCAATCTTATTTGGAGTTCTACTATTATCAACCCATGGAGAAGCTAAAAATTGAGAGAGAGAGAGAGAAATTACATCAAAACAGTAGATATACTCTATAAAAATAATGGAAAACATTAAAAAATCACAAACACCATGAACACATAATTCCATGCATTGACAGCAATGTTCAAATGGGAGATACCATTTTTATGCCCTCAATATTTCCCTTTTATAATAGCGGAAAACAACATGGTAGTACCAAAGAAAAACAACATAGGTCAATTCCCTTTTTAAATATTATTTCAAAAGTAACTTTTAGAAACAGGGGTGTTCTGGGTGGGGCTTCTGGCTCAGTGAGTAGGGCTAAAGCACCATATACTGAGGGTGGTGGGTTCAAACCCAGCCCCACCAAAAAAAAAAAAAAAACTGCAAGAAAAAAATAGCCAGGCATTTTGGTGGGTACCTGTAGTCCCACCTACTCAGGAGGCTGAGGCAAGAGAACCACCTAAGCCCAGGAGTTAGAGGGTGCTGTCAGCTGTGACATCACAGCACTCTACTGAGGGTGACAAAGTGAGACTCTGTCTCTAAAAAGAAAAAAGAAAAGAAACAGGGGTGTTCTTGGTGCTAACTGTAGTTTACCAGTGTCTTGAGGTTATACATTTTCTTTCTGTTCAAAACTAAAATTTTATGCTTACAAAAAATTGTATGGGAGGCAGCGCCTGTAGCTCAAAGGAGTAGAGCTCTGGTCCCAGGTGCTGGAGGTGGCGGGTTCGAGCCCGGCCCCAGCCAAAACTGTAAAAAAAAAAAAAAAAAAAAACAACTGGATCTGGCCTTTAAATAATTTTCTTTTACCAACTGGCATTATTTCAACTTTGTCAGAAGATGATGTAAGACAGATTTTAAATAAGAAAAGAGTTTTGACTTCTTCGTTTTGATTTTTCTTACAGTTTCTTGCAACATGTGTAGCTTCTCTGGTGCCTGTCTTCTGCTGTCCGAGTATTTTCTCCAGTGCTCAGCTCCTACACAGTTATATATAGTCTTCCCATTTTCTCCATGGTCCCGCACCATGGACAGCTTCACCAGGCCCCAGACCCTATAGTGTTCTCAGCTTCTCTTTCACCTAATGGCCAGTGGTAATGCCTGGGCACTTTTATGGCAGAAGGCTTCAGATGAGATACCTTCAACCCCAGAGGGTGAGTTTCCAACAAATCTCACCAATTTGACCTCATAGTGACTGTTCTGCCTTGGTGGGCCATAACCATGGCCTACTAGAAGGGCTAGATCTCAGCCCAGGCATACTAGGTGATTAGGGGATCTTCCTTGGGCACTCTATCTCAACCCTGGGGATCAATGTCATCATATATATTAGATTACATAACATTATATCTAATATTCATATATTTTTTAGAATTCTCTGCAGTTCTAGCCATTCTTTTATTACTCTAATTCCTGTTACATAATAGTTAATAATTTTTTAGTAAAACATAAACTTTCACTGTTCAAAATTCTGTGTTCCCCTCTGCCTTTGGTGATTAAACCAAAACTGAGACACATGTAATGGAGGGGGCAAAGACATGAGATTAGTTACCACTGCTGATATAACAGCAGCAACTAGGAGTTGAAAGTGGGCAGCAATTAATTTGAAAAATGACTTAATAAAACCAGAATTTGAAAGCTATGTTTAATGCTTAAATTTGATTTCTGAGTTGTTGACAGATCACATTCATCTAGGATTTCTATTTTTACTACAATAGATAGTTGAAATTAACTCTGATATGTATTACTATGTTCCATAAATTTACATCTTCCCTTACAGACAGAAAAAATTAAAATAATAATGTATGGTATGAGTCAGACTATTAAATTTATAATCTTATGTGGTGTATATTTAAAAATATTAATAATCTCAGAAGCTTTCTGAGATATTTAGAATATTAGATAATATTCTTTAATAATTATAGTAAATAAAGATATTTATTTTATGGGAAAATTAAATAATAAAATTTCTTCTGTGATATTATAAACTTGTTATAGAATCTCACTGTGACATTTAAGTGGAACATTATTTATATAGACTAGAATTATGGAACATCAAGTAATAGAAAGGAAAACCATGTATTGTAATTCCCTGAAATAATCAGCTTCATAATCACTCATGGTGAAAGCTACATATTTTAAGAGGAAATCAGAGCTTCTAAAATCCCTGCAAAAATAAAATGGTATTCATTTTAGATTTTAGCATTCCAATAAAATTTTGAAATGGCAGGAAGGAAGGGTGGAAATTACCGCCCACTATCATGGGCATCTCATTTCTGAATGCCATCCATAAAGGAGAGAATGATCACTTATCGGAATGTGTTTTTTCCTGATCAAAAATGAACCATGGGTGTGTCCTTTATTAATTCTACTAGGCTACTTTTCTGCTTCACATGATATGGAGGGTGTGCTATTCCAGTTTTCAAATCATTGATTTAACGTGTTTACCTGTATGAAGAGTGCATGTGGGAATACTTAAGGGAAGAGTCATATTTTGATGTGCTTGCATTCCTAGTGATAATTATTTTATGAGTTTGAGACCAATATTCAATTATTAGCTGAAAGTAGATTAGAAATTAAATTAGAAATAGGGTGTAGAGTATGGACAAAGGGACACAGTAATAGGGAATTGATTTGGATGAAATTTCCTGGGTTTGAGCACAAAGCACGAGACTTTGTCAGTTTAATATTCTGAAGTCTGGCTTGTTGAATATCTCCCCGCCCCCTACAGTTGACCTGTGGCTGCAGGTCATAGGCTTTGAGGCAATTCTCTACTAGGGTAGGGCTGTGTGCTCCAGGAGAGGGCTTTTTGGGAGTAAAGAATGTAGAATCTTTAAACCTTGTTCAACACAGGCAGATTTGCTCCAGACCATATAAGGAGATAAAATGTCTCTTTTCTTTTGTCACCTTAGTTTGGATAGAGGAGTCTATCTGTCTGGACACAAGGGTGTCAGAGTATTAAAATATCACATCTGTGATGACTGTGGATCAGCTGGGGTCTTTTCCTTGAGTCAGCTTCTAATTGTCTACCTTGTCAAGACTCTGTGTTTGTATTAAGATCATAAATACCTTAAAACAATAAAAAGTAGCAAGTAAATCCATACAATTAATGTAATTAGTTGTAGAATTAGTCTAGTTAATAGAAATGCACGTGTAGCAAAAACAATGATGGGATTCTTCACCTTGCCTTCATGAGATTTATGATTGTAACATTGATGTATGAAATAAATACAGAGCTAGCCTGATACTCAAGACAGGATACTGGAAGCCTCAAGAAGAAGCATGTGCCACCTCCTGAATCCCCACTGCTCTTAAAAGTATCTCTTCATCTTTGTCTATTAATTCTCTATAATTTTCCTAATAATCCTATGTCGGTCACTCGCCCCACCAGATCACAAGGAAGTAGATTCACAGTGTGTTGGTGCTGGTTTCCTGTTACCTGTACATTAACTAAGAATACTGAAAGACGTGGTAGAGAAATACCCTTGTTAAGATGGTCTACAAATAATAGGATAGTAAAAGTTTTTCATTTCAGCTACTAGGAAATAATAAAGCAAATTATTATAACATTGAGGACTCATTCTCTTGATAGAAACAACATTTCAAATGACAGCTAACTGTATTTCCAGTTCACAAATTCAATTGCATTTTTCTAATTCTAAAAGATTTCACATTTTTAGTCTCACGGAAATTTAAAAAAAAATACATTCCATGTACTCAAAAATGCCTTTAAAAGTTATTCCTTCTCCTTTGCCCAGATAGAATGAATGGATCATTATTCTAGGCCTGTCACAATCATCTCCTACAGAGTATTAGTCACAAGTTGGAACTGCAAGCCAAGATAATCAATTGAGACTATTTTCTAAGCCAAAATTAATTCATCAAATATATACTGCTCGGCCAAAAAAATTCCAGAATATACTCTCCACAGTTTCTACTTTGTATCATGGCTCCCAGATCCAGGTAGATAAGTCTCATTAAAAGAGGATGGATTATCTACTCAGAATGAGGAGCCCAAAAATCTAAAAAAGAAAATAGCTGGCCTCTTCAGATTTTTCGTTATCTATTTCCTAATAAAGGTTTTAATCTGAGAAATACTCAAAATATATAAGACAATCTATATTAAGTATTAGTCACACAAAATGCTGTAATGAACAATGTCAAATCCTCCATTTTTTAGCACAATGAAGTCATTTCCCCCTTCTATAACTGTGTAAGTTAGATTTCTATAGTTGTGGTGGGCATGGAAGGTAGATTCTGCTCCAGGTAGTCAGCCAGAGACTTAAGACCAGTAGAGCTTTCAACACTTGGATTCCAGGATTGTCCAGGACATTGGGTATGTAGCTTACTAGATGGAGCAAGGAAATGTGGAGAAGGGACGCTCAAGTTGTAAAAGTCTCAGGTTTGAAGCGACATATACTTTCATTCATTTTTTATTAGTGATAACTGTCACATGGTCCTATACAATCACAAAAAAGATCTAAGAAATTTAGATCACAGCAATCTTTTCCAAAAGAAAATTTCACAATGGAATGAAAAGACATACCTTAGGTGAGCAGCTAGCAACCTCTGCCAAAGGGACAGAAGGACAATTTAAAAAGGAGTAATATCCACTACTTATAACATCAACCTTTCTATGCTCAGCAATGTTTTCAGGTAAGCTGGCATTGAGAGAAGGGAGATGAAAATGGGCTAATTTCAAAAATCTGGTGAATAAATAAAATATGTCAGACTTAACAATTATTTCTAGAGTAAATTTTAGGATTGGGATTGTTTGCACAGAAGTCCACTGGAGGAATTGGGCATCATGGTTGATACTGTTTGAGTTACTAAAGAAATCAGAATCCTACTCTGCAGAAATGTAATTGAACCCTAAAGCAATTTTTGGGCCTAAACCCATGCCAGAAAAAAAAAGCTATAAGATCTATAAGATCTCAAGCACACCACTTCAGGTGTGTCATTGTTTTAGACAAGAGAGTTACTCCGATAGAACACTACCAGCAACAGCCCAATGGGCGAACCAAGA